CTTCTGTAGAGCTGCAGGGCTTGGGAAGCGCGGGTTGAATGAGCAAACTAGGGGTTTGGGGGTTTATGGTTTAGTGTTTTTGGTTTTTAATTTAAGGGCCTTTTAACTTTTTCGTCGCTTGTTTAGGGTTTAGGGCCTAGTGTAATAGTAGTACCCTAAGCCCTCAACCCCCCTCCCACACCCCGCTGCCTAAAACAAAGCGGGCGAAGCCGAGGTCGCAAAGCTTGGCATAGCCCCGCTTGTCGAGCAAGACCTTCTGCAGGGTTTAGGATTCAGGGTTTAGGGTTATGTTAAAGGTAACGGTTCTGTACTGAGGCGATTTGGGGCCTAAAGACGTACTATAAGGGTTCTAGAATGGTTCAGGGTTTTAGGGTTTTAGGGTTCAGGGATTTAGGGTTTTGGGGTGTAGGGTTTAGGGTTAAAGGAAACTACAGGCGGGGAGTTTAGGGGTATATAGGGCTTCCATAAGGCTTCTATAAGGTATATAGACCTTCTATAAGGCTCCTATAACGGTAACTACCCACCTAAAAATGTCCTAGAGTTATGGGTTTCAGGGATGAGGGTACTATAGGAACCTGATTAAGAAACCTACTAGGGCTATGCACCCTAATATTTTTGAGCTACTAAACCCTAAACCCTAAACCCATAGGGCCAGGGTTTCTTAATCAGGTTCCATAGTACCCTCATCCCTGAAACCCATAACTCCAGGACATTTTCAGGTGGGTAGTTACCGTTATAGGAGCCTTGTAGAAGGTCTATATACCTTATACAAGCCTTATGGAAGCCCTATATACCCCTAAACTCCCCGCCTGTAGTTCCCTTTAACCCTTAACCCTAAACCCCAAAACCCTAAAACCCTGAACCCTAAAACCCTAAAAACCCCAGAACCCTAAAACCCTAAAAACACCAGAACCCTAAAACCCTGAACCCTAAAACCCTAAGAACCCCAGAAGGGTATAAACAGGCTATATAGTAAACCCCAAAAAGTTGGAAACCGGATTAAGGACAAATAGTGCTGGGATTCCCTAGGATTGAGGCTATTGGGTTTCCAACTTTGGGCGTCTACTGT